GTCCTTCCACCACCCCTTCTCCTCACCGTCCCTGGTTCCATGGCCCTCTCCTCCCCCCGGACCCCGAGCCTGGAGACCCTGGACGGCTGGCACCCCGACCCCGACGGGGACCCTGCCGGCCACCCGCCGAGCGAGACCCGTGAGTCCTTTCTTCCCCGCCAGGAGCCAGGGCGCAGAGGGAGGCAGGGCTGCCGTGGAGTGGGCCCTCGGCCCTCCCCTTGTGGGCAGACACCGTGGCACGCCCGGGCAAGGGAAGGCACCCCACAGGGGACCCCCAGCCCCTCAGGGTGGGCACTCACTGCCGCTCTCCCTGCCCCTCCTCTTTGGGTTGGGACGGTGGGTGTCACTGTGGGGCCTGCGCTGGGCCTGCCTGGCAGAGGCTGAGGACTGCCTCTCATTTCTGCCTGTGCGTGTCCTGCATCCTGTGTCCCTGCATGGCTTCCGTGGCCGGGCAGCCACCCCAGTCCTAGACCTAGAGGCTGAGCCCAGTGTGGACGTGATCCTGGTGGGCTCCGGCCCGCCGTCACCCGGGCGGGGCAGAGGTGAGGCTCGTCTACGTACTGGACTGGTCACTTGGGGTGCTGGCCCCAGGCCAGGCAGTGTCAGGAGTTCCAGGCTTCCAGAATATTCAAGTCATTCAGAGGCTGGGCAGGGGCAGGAGTCCTAGAGCCTCCCCCAGGCTCGGACGTTGAACACACCAGGATCAGGTGGGGGAGGGACGGTGGGCCCCTCAGCCTCCTGAGTCTTCAGAAGATAAATGCCAGATGCTCCCTTCTTGGCCCTATTTAAATGAGGAGATAGGAGGAGGAAGGGAGGGGCTACTTCTTACCTCTTTTCCAGATCTCATTGCGTATGAAGTCCAGGTGAACCAGAGAAACATAGAAGGTGAGCGTTTGCACACCTGCCTGCCACCAGGCCCGCTCCAGCATGGCCCCGTCGTCCTGGAGGAAGGCAGTGGATGCCACGGGTGCCCACCTGCGTCCCTTCCGCACCCCAGGCCCCCACAGCTCGGTTTAAAGTCAGCAGTTCCACGTCATCTCGTATGTTCACAGAGCTGTGCGAGCATCATCACCGTCCCACTTTAGAACATTTCATCACCCCAGAAAGAAAGCCCATCTCCCTTAACAGTCGCGGGGGATGCCCGCTCCGCGCCTCCCCTCTGCCATCCTGGGCAGCCACTGATCTACTTGCGTTCCCTGTGGATTCGCCTGTTCTGGATGCTGGGCGTTTCCATGTGGATTTTAGGATCGGCTCGTCCACTCCTGCAAAAAAGCCAGCTGGAATGCTGGTGGATCTGTAGATCCGTGAGGGGCGTCTGGCTATTTGACCATTATTACGTCTTCCGATCCATGAACATGGGAAATCTTCCCATCTCATTGGATCTTCTTTAATTTCCTTCAACCGTGTTTTGCAGCTTTCAGTGCAGTCCCTGCCCTCCTCTGTTAAATGCATTCCTGAGTCTTTGCTCTGTCTGAGAGCACCTTGAATCACCTTGCACTTGGATGTTCCCTTTAGACATCTGCCTCTGCTGCGGAAGCTTCCGGGTTCACACGCAGCACCCTCTGTTTGAGGGGGGAATGTGCGCTCCGTGTAAGGTAAGCAGGGAAGCTAGGCGTGACGTCCTCACTGCCGCGGAGAAGGGAGGACGCAAAACAGCGTCACTCTGCTCCTTACCAAGGACAAGTTCCTGGACACCCTCTTCCTGTACGACGACGATGGGTACCAGTCCTACTGCTCCATCTGCTGCGCGGGAGAGACGCTGCTCATCTGCGAAAACCCTGATTGCACCCGGTGAGGCCCGGGGCCCTGCGCAGGACGCCGCCAAGAAGCCTCTGGCCGCGAGCCGAGGGAACGCCCGCCCTTCTCAGCTACTCCTCTGGAGTGTGGGGGTTTTCCTCCCAAAAGACCATTTCCTCCAAAGCTCTCCGATGCTTCGTTTGGCGTAGAGCCTTGCCGTGGGGGTGGACTGTCGAGATTTGCACCTGCGGTTTCTGTTTTCGGCGTTAGTGTCGCTGAGACGCGGCTGCTACATGAGGATTGTTACGTAGCAGAGTGGAGGAAACCCCGCCCCGTGGGGCTGCACAAGGGCGTGTTCGTCCCTCTGTCCCTACTTACCACCCTCCGTAGAGCCCCCCTTCAGTCCTCGGGGCCACCCGTGTGCCCACAGCTCCCCCCACCTCAAACTCTCTCCCCGGCTGGCTGCGTCGGTCTTGCGGGCGTCCTTAACCTGCGTGTTCGGGGCCTAGAATTCAGGGACTTAGGAGCTTCTTTGAAATCTATTGTTGCCCAGAAACCCAAGTCGCTGTTTTCTGGCTCAGCTCCTGTCCTCTGGGTCGCCAAGAAGGACGTGTCCCTGTTGCTCAGGGCGCGGCCCTGCCCCCCCACCATGCCTCGCAGAGGCGGACAAGGCCCATCCGTGTCTCAGGCGAGCGCCGGTGACTTCTATGGTTCACTCCAGAGCAAGGCGCAGGCCTGCCTCTGCCCCGCGGACTCCCCCGTGCCACAGGACTGTCATTTGGTCACTGTGGTTTTCTGTTTGACTCTAGATGCTACTGTTTCGAGTGTGTCGATAGCCTGGTCAGCCCGGGGACCTCGGAGAAGGTTCACGCCATGAGCAACTGGGTGTGCTTCCTGTGCCTGCCCTTCTCCCGCAGCGGGCTGCTGCAGCGGAGAAGGAGGTGGCGGGCCGGGCTGAAGGCCTTCTGCGACCGCGAGTCGGTAAGTAAGCGCCACCCTAGCGGGCAGGACCCGGCCGCAGCAGGCCCTGGGCTCGGGAGCTTTCCTCCGGTGACCAGCTGCAGAACGCTCGTTCGCGCTGATGCCCGATGAAGTCACGGGCTCCTGAGTCAGCACTTGCTCATTGTCCTCTTAGTAGCAGACGCGGCCAGATGGTCAATTTTCATAAAACCATCTTGGCGTGGCGGTTCGCTCCTTACGAGCCTGGGAATGAGGCACTTGTAGCGCGTAGGAAGGGCCCGGAAAGGCTGGCTGGGGGTCCTCGGCACGCGCCCTCCAAGTCCAGCACTAGGGAGCAAATGCTTCAGCGTCGATGGCCGGACGCCGGGCCCTTGAGGGCCCAGGCCAGGAGCCACCGGAGCTGCGCGGAGCAGGAGCCAGGTCCGGCACCTCCCCCACATCCTCCAAGGCTGAGGGCGCATAGCCTCGCTGGGCTCCGGTCCCATCTGCTTCCACGTGTGGCTGGCGCTCTGCCTAGAGCCCCCGCTGGGGCAGCCGCCCCCCGCTCAGGCCCGGTGCCTGATGGTCCATCCGTATTTGCTGTCAGCTGGGCACCCCCAAGTGCGACCGCCCAGGGGGCAGGGGACTTTGAGGTGCTCATCCTAGAAATGAACTGCCCCTGGCTGTCTGGCCCGGAGTCCTGGCAGGGAGGGATGGGAGGGCCAAGTGCATCCCCAACCAACACGGCCGACTGGGTGTAGATACTCCCGTGTCCTTTGTCCTCAGCAGGGCTCCTCTGGGCAGGGCTCGGGGACGTCTCTTGGCACGCAGGTCACTGGCGGCAGAGAGCAGGCAGCAGGGTCCCTCCCAGGGTTGTCAGGCAGCTTTCAGATGTTCCCAGCCCACGGAGGGTGGACGGGACTGCTGGGGGCAGGGACACGGGGATGAGGGGTCAGGGCCGCCGCTGTGCATGGTCAGATTCTCCTGGGTGGACGACTCGGATGCCGAGAGTGACGGGAGTGTCTCCTGTCGGGATGGCATCGTTCCCCTTTGAAGTTAGGACCGTCCCCCCCACCCCGCACTGTCTTTTTGCTGCACACGGCCGGGGTCAGGTGGAGCTGGCCGTCATGGGCACAGCACTAGTCAGGACAGGCCCCCAGTCCTCAGCAGGTGAGTCTCAGGTGAGTCTCAGGTGAGTCCCAGGTGAGTCTCTGTTAATCCAGGGGAGAATGCTATATCAGGAAGAATTTTAATTTTAGCTCAAGAGCTCTGTAACCAAGTAGCCGGCACAGCTTCTGTGTGTTTAAATAAACAGGAGAGTTCCCTGGAGACGTACAAAACCGTGCCTGTGTGGAAGAGAGAGCCGGTGCGCGTGCTGTCCCTCTTCGGGAACATTAAAAGAGGTGAGTGTGGTGATACCGCGAAGACTCACACAGGAAGACGCCTGCACAAACCTGAGCCCTGGGCCCACCTGGCCGCACCTGCGGGTGCCTTGGGACCCCCACCTGGTCTCCGGGCCCCGCAGACACAGACGAGTCCCTGGAGACACTCCCCAGCCTCTGGCCAACAGCATCAGGACTTGGCCCCCTCGGAACCCCCTGCCAAGTGCTCCACGGTGTCCTCAGAACGGGCATGTGGGACTTCACGCCACTGCCATGTCGCAGAGCAGGAGCCTGAGACGCACAGCGCGGCTCGGCCGAGACTGGCTGCCCGGCGGGGCTGAAGGAAGCCGGGCCTCTGCCACGGCCCTTCTGGGGCTCTGTGGCCCCCACCCGCTGGGCCCCGTCAGCGTGGACCCCGCTGCCCGCGGATTTCCTGACCTGGCGGGTGACGCCACAACCCAGAAATGCCTGGTTTCGCAACAAATTGCTTGACTTTCTTAAAACAATGCTCAGTGAGGTTTGTTTGTTTAGCTTCACCCTCCCATGTGACGGGAAAGTCTCCTGATCTGTCCTTGGCCTTTTTGAGTCCCCGGAGGGGCCAAGCCCCCATCAGCCCCTCGCCCTCTCGTCCCCATCCAGAGCTAACGAGTCTGGGGTTTCTGGAGGCCGGCTCTGGCCCCGGAAGGCTGAAGCACTTGGACGACGTCACGGACGTGGTGAGGAGGGATGTGAGTAGCACGCGTGTGTCAGACACGGGGGACAGCGGGTGTCCAGAGGTGCCTGGGGTGTGGGGGAGACGCCTCACCGCGTGGGGGCAAGAGAGGAGGGGAGTGTCGGTGGGCAGGGAGGGGCGGCCTGGACGCTACACAGCTCCAGGGCCTCTGGCCAGGCCGGTGGGGGCCCCGCCCCAGCGGGTGCCGGTGGTCCCTGCGCTGCCCAGAGCCCAGAGCAGGGGGATCGGCCAAACGCCCCGTCCCACATCTGGACATCCCAGTGGCCAGTTTGCACCCCTGTGATGGGGCGCTGCCCGGCAGGAATCGAACCCGACTCCAGCCTCTGAAACAGGGACGCCGTCCTCGCACTGAGCAGCTGCAGCTGCTTAGAGACATCCCACGCCCCGCAAGAAGGAGACGCAGTCTGGGCCCGCGTTCCCTTCCTCACGGCTAGAATCCCGCCTCTGCTCTGGCTCCTCCTCCTCCCCCTGCTCCTCCTCCTCCTCCCGCTCCTCGTCTTCCCCAGGCGCTCCATCTGCGGTTGCTTGCACCCCAGGGGATAAGCAGGAGCAGCCTCCCGCTTGCGCGGCTTTGGGAGGCACTGGGACCACCGGCCACGCTCACCCCCTCTTTCCCTGACGAAGCCCAGGCCGGCCCCAGGGGCACCTGCAGCCAGAGCTAGGCTTGTTCACTTGCCACGTCAGGGAGAACGTGCCAGAGGGACCCCAGGAGTCTGGGGGCTTATTGTAGAATCCGGCTGTCGTGAGGTGGTTCCAGGAGGGTCCCAGGCAGCAGGGGTCTGCCCCGGACGGGTGCTGGCAGAAGACGGCCGTCCGATGTTTGAGTTATCTTGTTAATTTTTATTTACGGAGACTGACACAGGGCTGGAGTCATCATTGTTAACGCAGTCAGTGTCCCTCGTGTCACCCCAGAGAGGAGGCCTGGGGCCACTTCTGTGGTTGAGAGCATCCCTGCTGGTCTGTGTTCAGGCAGCATCTTGGGCGGCTGGGTTTTGTCTTCCTCCAGCTCGGCCGCGGAGTGACTGGTCATTCATGTTACGTCGGGTTGTTTATGTCCAGAGGGGAATGTCCCGCCCTCACGGTAGCTCCCAGCTGCCAGCAGGCTGCCACACCTTGTATGTTCCCCGACAACACAGTCACCTCCGTGCTTGGGGGGCCTGCGTGCGTCCCCGGGGGCCGGTGGTGAGTGAGGATGGCTCTGACTGGGGGCCCCGGGGCCCTGAGGGCTGGGCAGGGTCCACCCCGACAGGTGACTCCGGGTGAGCTGCCCCTGGTCTCCCAATCAGAGGGGGCATTTGCTTCTCCTGCGAAGATAAAAACGTCCCCGGCATGCCCGTGTCCCACAGGTGGAAGACTGGGGCCCGTTTGATCTCGTGTACGGCGCGACGCCTCCCCTGGGCCACACCTGCTACCGTCCCCCCGGTGAGACGCTTGGAGAAAAGGGCTGCGCTGGGCTCCGGTTACGCAGCAGTGTGTCCCCAGCCGCCCCCTCTTCTCTCCCTGCCCCACGCCACCCGAGCCCCCTTAAGCAGAGCAGAAACTGCAATTGTTTGCATTTTTAAAAACAGCTTTATTGAGGCACCACTGACACTGTAAACTGTCCACACTGGAAGTGTGTGATTGGGTGAGTTTGGACATAAATACACACCATGCACCCATCACAGAGGCCCATCGCCCCGAAGGCTTCCTTGCACCCGCCAGTCCTCCCCTCCCATGGCTGCCGGGCGCCCGACGGCAGGAGTCACTGAGGTGCTCGGTGCTCTGGGGTCCTGCCCGGCAGGCGCTGTCCCTACCACAGCTGCGCCCCGAGGCTCGTCCCCTCCCGCCGCTGCGTGGGGCAGGCCGGGTGTGCTCGCCCCGTGGCCCTGGCGCAAGGAGGCCTGCGCCCTTGAGGGCTCCGTTGCAGCTGGGGGGCAGAGGAGGGGGCAAGTGGACCCCCAGGTCCTCAGCCCTGCCCTCCTGCCCAGGCTGGTACCTGTTCCAGTTCTGCCGGCTCCTGCAGTACGCGAGGCCCCCGCCGGGCAGCCCGAAGCCCTTCTTCTGGATGTTCGTGGACAATCTGGTGCTGAGCCAGGAAGACGTGGACGCGGCGGCTCGATTCCTGGAGGTGCGTGCGGGGCCTGGCGGGGCCCTCCAGCCCACACTCGGGAGCTCTTGGCGCAGGGATCCACTCACACCCTGGCCCTGGCTCCCCGAGGCCTCTGGCCGCCAGGTGTGTGCAGGGCCCAGAAGGGCCGCCGTGCAACTGAGGCACAGGTCATGGCCTCTTGGGACACAGGCCCCCCGGGGATGGCCTCGGAGGAGGAACCCACTGCACAGCACTCCTGTGTTCTCAGAACTCTGCCACGGGGAGTCCCTCCTCCTCCCGCCCCTGCCCTCGCAGTCTGCACACACGCACACACGTGCACACCCAGTCCCCCATCATGCACCTGTGCTCACAGCACACACACCTGCATGTGCGAACACGCACACGCACACGCACACGCACACACACCCGCTGTGGCACAGCCTTGCTTTGCTTTCCACGCGTCAAATCCTGATCATCAGAGCAGCCACGTTTGGGCTCAGTGGCCGATCCCCAGGCGGACTTGGGCCGGGTGTTCCAGAGGTGTCCGTGGTGTGGCAAACTCTCGGCCACAGGACGAGGCCCAGGAGGAGGAAGTTCATCACCCTCTCGGGTCCCAGAGAGGGTCACAGCCAGCAGGGCCTGCCCCACTGGGCGCAGGGAGGGTAAGGACCTGAGGGCCGGCACCATCGCTGGGGGCAGGGGGGTCACGGCTCGAGCGTGCGGGGTTCCACTGAGCGGCTGGAGAGGAAGCCACACGGGCGGGAGGGGCGCGGTGTCGGGGCCTGGGCTTGCCGTGGAGCAGACTCGGCTGCTCGGGTGTGGGCAGGAGAAGGGCGGGGGCACCAAAGCACGAACTCCGAGGGCTCTAGACCCACAGGGACCCTGCCAGCCCCCTCACAGGGCGGCCCCTGTTCCGGCCTGCTGTTCCCTCCTCCCCCACGTCCACGTGCTCAAACTTTAACAAGTGTTTTGAAATGAGCAGCGCAAAGTCTCCTGGCCTCTCGGTGTCGCCTCCTCCTGCCGGGATCTTTCTGAAAATACGAAAACCCGTGCGCTCAGCTGCTTGGCGCCCATTGGGTTGTCACTTAAATCACCTTGGAAATCCTTCCAGCACTGAGTGCTTTTCTCATTCTTTTTTGGAATTTGTTGAGTGTTTCATTTTGTGCAGTCTCCCTTCGTGGGAACATGGAAATGCATTTAACCCCTCCCTCTGGGTGGAGGGCAGGGCCGCCTCCCGTCCTTTGCTCTTACAAGCGGTCCTCCCACAGGGGACACTGCGTGATGAATTCCCGATGAGGTTTCCGGGTCGAGGGTGACTGCACTGGGGTTCACAGATACAGCCCAGGGGCCTCCGTCAGGGCTGTCCCAGTACACATCCGCACAGGGGGACGAGGTGCCACGCCCTTCCCTCCCCCCGCCACGGGATGTGCACGGGCTCTCTCCTGCCCTTCTGTGACATTCGTTCCACGAGGATGCACCTTTCTGTGAGTCCTCTTGCGGCAGGTGGCCCGGCCCGTTTCACCGTCTAGCTGGTTTGGTACGTGTCCGCGAGACTCCTCTCTCTGCACGCGGATCCGGCCCTCGCCGCCTTGCTGCATTCCCCGCGGTGCAGGAGCTCTCGGCTGATCCAACCAGACTTTCTGTGTGTTTGAGCAGATATGGCAAACCGCTCTGTGCCTGGAGCCCTTCCCTTGTCTCTGTGTGGTGGGCACCTCTGGGCTGGTGTCGGGTCCCGGCAGTGACAGTGACGTCAGGCTGGTCCTGACCCGGGGCTGCCAGCGGTCCCCTGTGAGGCCGATGAGGGCTCTGAGGCTGAGGTGGGTGACAACGTGGTACATCTCACCATGGCGGGAGGTCGCCATGGAGTCCTACTTTTTAGAGCATTTTTATCAAGAATGGTTGTTGGATGTTGTCAAATGTTCTCTTATCTATGGAGATACTAGGTATCTATTACTTTAGAGCTATTACTAAGAAATGATATTCTAATAGATTTCCCAATAATAAACCATCCGTGCATTCCTCGAAAAAGTCCCCCAGTCATAGAGTATCATCTCTTTAACCTACTGCCGGGTTCCCTGGAACAGCATTTCGTGTAGGAGGTCCCTCGTCGTGTAGGGGGTCCCTGGTCGTGTAGGGGGTCCCTGGTCATGTAGGGGGTCTCTCATCGTATAGGAGGTCCCCGGTCGCATAGGGGGTCCCTCGTCGTGTAGGGAGTCCCTGGTCGTGTACGGGGTCCGTTGGCAAGTGTGAAGGGTTGGTACGAAGCTGTCGTATTGTGCGAACTCTGTCAGGTTTTGGTGTCAATGTTACATTTGCTTCCTAAAAATATTTGGAAAATTGGTGGATTTCTCCTGTGAAACTGTCTGGATTGGCGAGTGTTGCTGTTGTTTTAAAAATCAAACTGGCTCTTCTACAGAGACTGACGTATTAAGATTTTCTGTCTTTTCTGGGGTTAGTTTTGGCAAATGACGTTTTCCTAGAACATAATCCACTTAAGTTTTAAAAATTCTTTTCATAATTCTCTTACTTCTGTTTTGGTGGTTGTTTCTCCTTACTAGGGAATCTGGAAATTTTTAGAGTGTGACATGATGCCACGTGACAGCGGGGGGCAGTGGGGGGGCAGGTTTGCGAGTGGCACTATTCATCAGAAAACCTATTGGTAAGTAATTGTGGGGCCGACCGACAAGCGTAGTTTCCAAACCCAGCACCAGTTAGCAGCCAAGAGGACAGCAAAGATGCTGGTTCCTGCACAGTCTGGTAGGTCGGAATCAACTGGTCCCAAATCAGGAGGGGCAAAAAAGGAAACTTCCTGTGTTTTCTGTAAACTCGCCCGCCGTGGCGTGACGAGGGCGGGCGTTCGGTCCTGGTTCTGGGCTGGACGGCCGTCGGGTGAGTCCCTCCCTCTCCAGCCCCCGCCGCCAGGTGTCTGGGTGCAGGGGGCTGATGTGTCCAGGGAGGTGGCATCAAGGCCACCTAATGACAGGTTCGGGGACCGGTGGCCTCTCAGCCCCCCTGCCCAGCAGCGGATGGTTCGGTGCCTGCACCCACCCCCCTCCTCCTTTCCTTCTGGGGCTTCTGGAGAGACGGGGACCCAGGGTTGGAGGCGGCGGCCTGGCCCCTGACCAGCAGGGCGACGTGTCCCACTTTCCAAAGCCCTGTTCTGCCAGGAGGGCCTCGTCTCTACCTGAGACACACTCCCCTTGACTCAAACCAAGGGCTTCTGTGCCCTTAGTGGGACCCCACCAGGGCTGGGCCACCTCTGGGCCGCTTGGCCTGTGGGCTGAATCTGCCACTTAAAAGGTTTAAAGTAGCAAATCGGCGTGTTTCCTCCTAAGGTGATTTATAAGAAAAAGGCCTGTGGCGTGTAATCGCTGCCGCCGAGGGTGATCGATGTGGTTGGCCGGGAAGGTCTGCTGGCCGTCCCAGGGCCAGACGGCGGCTGAGGCCCGCGGGACCCGAGGGTGGCAGCTACGGTTCCCGCCCCGTGGTCCACAGCCGGCCCTCTCACCCTCAGACGGAGCCGGTGACCATCCAGGACGTCTGTGGCAGAGCCCTGCAGGACGCCGTGCGAGTGTGGAGCAACGTCCCGGCCGTGAGGAGGTATCTCCCGGGCAGACGGGGCCCTGCGGGGCTGGGAGGGACACGGACCCAGACCGGGGCTCCCCAGGCAGTGGGCGGAGAAAGCAGGGGCTGTCCACCCGGGCACAGCTGGGCCGCCGGGAGCCCCGCAGACACTGCCGCTCGAGAAGGCCCCTTTCTGCCCCGGGCCCCTCGCCGGCCCTGCCTGGCGCTTCTGGGGTCTCCTCTCAGGACTCCGCAGCGTCCCTCATCCTGGACACGTGCCACACAGGCTCACGTGTGCTCACTCACGCTCACGCGCCCCACAGTGCACGCCAGGGCTGCACCCACCTTCTTCAGCTCCCTGAAACCCAGCACGCCCCGGCCGCCAGCACCCTCCCCCTGCCGGCGTGTTCTCACGGAGGCGCATGCTCGCCGAGGCCTGTTGTCGTCTGTCCCCAGACCTTGAGCCCTGATCACATGGGCCTGTCCCCTCACTCCTGCACCCACCCGGGCAGCGCCAGTCACGTGCACTCGTGAGCAAATGCGCAGTGCACTTTCTGGCACTGACAAGTCATGTCTCCTGCCTGAGACTCAGTTTCTGGAAACTTCTGCCCACTCATCTCCCCAGGTCCAACATTTTCCCAGTGTGCAGCTGTGGTGGGGTCCTACAGCCTGGCACCTGCAAAGGCTGCCGCCCACCGGGTCCCCTCCCCTGGAATCCAGGATTTGCATTTGGGTGGGGCCGAGACAAAGTGCTTCTCCAGAACATCTGTGTTTCAGCAATCTCAAAGGCCTCGCCACGCCTGTCCCGCCCCTCACCAGCCCCTGACCCCAGCAGGTTCTTCTGGGCAGCCACTCAGCCGAGAAATAGTAATAATAGCACAACTTAGACGTCGTTACGTGGTGAGCGCAGCCCAACCCAGGCACAGAGAGCTGCTCCGTAAAAGGCACCCCCCTCCTCTCTGGCTGTCACCCTAGAGTTGGTCACACCTGGGGGCACCTGCCAGGTTTGGCTGGGACTGACAGCTCCTTCCCCCTGGGCCCAGCCCCTTTCTGAGCAGGGCCCACAGGCCCCAGGGGGCTCCTGCCCACTGTCCCCCCAGAGCTCCCCACGGGGCGCTGAGGGCTGGATGCACCCGGACCACCACCCTGGGGTCGCCTGGTTCCCAGGAAGAAGCCGGCAGCAACTTCCCACGGTCCTCCCTTCCAGGCACGCGGGTGTCTTAGCAGGGAGGAGATGGACAGGCTCACTGAAAGCAGAAATCATTTTGCCGAGATAACCGGCAGCCGCCCCCGCGAGGGCTGCTTGCAGGCGGCCACCGTCACCCCAGGACAGTCAAGGACAGCCCCACACTGCCCAGGGCGGGGTGCGGGGACAGCGCTGGGGAGGGGACACGGAGGGTCTAGCCCCTCGCTCGTGGCCTCCCCCTAAAGCAAATGCAGAAATGTTCCTGGACTCCAGAGGATGCCTGGGAGCACGGGAGGGTGTCGGGCACCCCGCCTGCAAGGCCCCTCTCCCCCGGCCTCCCCCACCCACGGGGCTGGGGCTTGCAGCCCAAGGAGCTCTGACGACCTCAGCTCCGGGCTCTGTGTTGCGTTGGGATTTCCTGGGGACGCTGGTGACACGGGAGGAGGGTTTGGCCGAGCTTCCCGTGTGGGAGCTGCCTGGGATGGTCTCCCACCTCACCCAGAATGTGGGACCCGCCGGGTGGGGCCCGGGGTCTGGTCCTGGGAGACCCTGCCTGTCACCCCCAGCCTGCTCTCCACAGGACTAGCCCCTCCTGAGGGGTGTGGGGGTGTGGGGGCCGGCTGTCCCCTGCTGCCCAGGACCTGCCTGTCCTTCCACCCCGGCTCCCGGGGGCTCGACCTTGGGCCCCTCGGGACGGGCGAGGCCAGGCGGCTCCCTCCACCCCGCCAGGCGGCGAGCCCTCCTGCCGCTCCGGTGGGCGCTGAGGTGGGTAAGAGGCCTCCTCTCTCCTCGGCAGCAAGCACTCGGCCCCCGTCTCCGAAGAGGAACTGTCCCTGCTGGCTCAGGACAGGCAGAGGGCAAGGCTGCCCCCCGGGACGCCCGCCAGGCTGGTGAAGAACTGCTTTCTCCCCCTAAGAGAATATTTCAAGTATTTTTCAGCAGAGCTCACTTCCTCTTTGTAAATGAGTCACTGCGCTGTGAAAAAGAAAGACTGACTTTTCCTAGAACAAAGACAACTTTCCTTACGTTGTCCGCTTTTTCCTCTGTGGATTATTATTTTATTTGCTTAACTTTGGGTTCCTTGGGGTCACACAGACCCATCTCCTGCTCAGTTCTGAGCCGCCAGTCCCCTCACCACGCTGGCCCGTGGGCCGGGCAAGGCGCCACGTGGCCGTGACAAGACCCCGTGTTTTGTGCATGTTGGTCTTCCCGAAAGCACTTCCGTGCTCCAGTGGAGAAGTTAAAAATATATTCCTTATAAGATGGTTATTGGTCATGTTCTGGTGTTTTTATAGGTGGGCTCTGCCTGTCCTTCAGGCCGCAGGGCTTGGGGGTGTGGGGAGAATGACGACCGGGGACAGTTTATAAGCGCTTGTGGTACAAGTTCCCTCCCTGTGCACGCGTGGCTGGGGCCCTCGCCACCGGTTGCTGGGACACTAACTGCTCACTCTGATGATAGCACCGAGAAACACCCTAACCTTTGCAAAGTACGCACAGGAAACCTGGCAAGCCACGGTGAGCCGCACAGCCGGCGCGGAGGCCCAGGCGGGTCCGCTTGCAGAGCACGGAACCCCGTGGCCCTCCTGACCCTGATGGAGTGGCTCTTGGGAAGCAGGATCCTCCCGGCCCCCTGCCGTGGCACTGAGTGACCGTGAGCCCACCAGAAAGCGCCGCCTCCCACGGGCTTCAGATCCGCGTAGGGTGTCCCCCAGGGCGCTGCCCACCCAGCAAGACAGCCCCGTAGCGATCTAGACTCCACCTGTCCTGGGCTCTGCAATCGGACCTTTGGGGTCAGTGCTGGGACCATCAGTGGTAGGTAAAATGCTTCGTGGAAGCGAGATGGGGTTAAAATTGGACCTTTTGAAGAATTTTTGAAAAACACCTTGAAGTAGAATAGAAGTCTCCACTTGGGTTAATACGACCGGACACCTCTTCTGTCTCTAGAAAACCGGGCTGGACTCCGACAACACGGGTCTCACGTCCAGGGGCTGATGTAGCAAGCTCTGTAATGACGCTGGGGTTACAAAAGCCACAGAAAACCCAGAGCAGGAAGCAGAGACAGGGCATCCAGTGCAGATCAGACCGTCCGGGCAGGCAGGCGGCGAGCAAAGGCTCCACGCGGCCGAGCGCGCTGCCTCCCCCCACCCCGCCCCCGGGGTACCAGACTGCTCAGGGGAGCCCAGGGCCACCCCAGCTGCGTCTGCATCTCCCCGTCTCTCTCCAGCCTACAGACGGAATTGTCCACGTCACCTGGAGAGTCTCCAAGTATCTCAAGTCTACCCACGGCGCCCACTTAGTGATCCTCTGTGGTCAGCTGAATGACGACCCCCCAAATGTGCCCATGTCCCTATCCCTGGAGGCGCGAATGTTGCCTTAGAGGGCAAGGAAAGGACTTGGCTGATGTGATTCAACAGAGAGGGAGACCACCCTGGATTACACGGGCCCCCTCGTCAGAGGGCCTCAGAAGAGGGAGGCGGAGCCAGGCGACCACACAGGCCACGTGGCCGGGAGGCAGAGGCTGGACAGGTGACGCCACAGGCCCAGGCCCACCTGGACCGCGGGAGCTGGAGGTGGCAGGTAGGACCCTCCCCCGGAGCCCCCGGAGGAAGCGCAGATTCCCAGCTCCCGCCTCCAGGCTGTGAGGGAACAGAGCGCTGTTGCTTTAAGCACCAAGTTTGTGGCAATCAGTGACCGCACGCAGGAAACACACACAGTCCTGCGTCAACGCGCGTATATGGCAGTGGTCCCATAAGATTATCATACCGTATTTTTCCTGTGGCTTTTCTATGACTAGACATGTTTACGTACAATCCTTGCCGTTGCGTTACAATCGCCTGCAGTGTTCAGTACGGTCACGGCTTTGCAGCCTCGGAGCAAAGGCCCTACCACGCGCCTGGGTACGTGGTTGGCTACGCCACCCACGTGCAGGTGAGCACATTAATCAGAACGCAGCCCCGTGGTTCAGGGACGCACCACTGCGCACACTGGGGGAAAGATCTGCTTCCTCAGACCAGGAATCTAGCTCCGAGCATCCACCGAGCCTGAGATCAAAGGCACGACCCCAAGAGGCCAGTGGCCTCCAGGTGCACAAGGACAGAGTCCCTTGGCACGCAAGACGCCCTGTCAGACAAGACGCCCTGTCAGACGGCCCAGCGTCTCCGAAACAGCTGAGCAGGGCGGGCTGGGTCTCTGAGCAGCCGTGTCTCATGCGGGAGCTTTGAATCTCCAGTCTGCACAGATAAGATTCCCACCTGGTCCCAGTCGGCCCTACACGTTCTTCCGCATGGGCCTCTCTCTCCACACCCCCAGGACAAAAGCACAGCCCGCTGCCTGAGAAGAGTCGTCCCCAAGGCAGAAAAGCTAAGACTGTCCCTCGACTGCAGGAAACCTCCCGAGGGGTTTTCTAGTAATACTTCTTCACTTATCTTAAAACCCACCGTGTGTGCGTGACCCATGTGCTGGGGTGGTGCGTATTCACTGCCAACGGAAACAAGACAAACTCTGCAGAGTAATTTAAAAGAGGTTTATTCCGAGCCGAATTGGAGGACCACGGCCCACAGCCACGCCCAGGAGGCCTTGAGCAAGCGGACTCGCGGTGGCTGGGTCACAGTTGGTTTTACACACAGCAGGGAGACGAGGTTACAGGTAAAGTCATAAATTAATACGTGGAAGGTGTACATTGGTTTGGCCCGAAAAGGCGGGCCATCTCGAAGCGGGGGGCTTGCAGGTCATAGGTGGGCTTCGGGACTCTTTACCTGACAATTGCCTGAAAGAGCGAGGCTCTGTCCGAGCTCCAGGAGTCTAGGAAAGGGATGCTTGAGCTAAGACAAGGGTCTTCTGTCCTTCACATGACGCTGTCCCGGAGCCAGGGTGGGAGGTAAACCTCAGCATAAATACCTGTTGACCGAGATTTTATCATTTGTAGGCGCGACTCACCAGGCCTCCTAAGAAAGGAATTTTTGGGGCAAAGATCACAGTTCAGTCCTTGTAACTTGTAATAACCCCACATCCGCTTACACGGATCACCCGGTCACTGCTCTGTGGGGAGGGTGTGGTAACTGTCGCGCCCACACATGGGGAACGCAGGCGCAGAGGCCTAGGTAGCTCATAGCCTGGTGTCACACGGCTCCCAGGAGCAGGGCCGGGATTCGAACCCCACGGTGCACTCACCACTGTCCTGAGGTTCCTGGGCTGGTCTTGGTGCCCCCTCTTTATGGCTGCCCTCCCCCACAGCTGCCCCCGGGTCCCCCGAATGTTCCCCTTTGGCCAGGCTGCATTCCTTGCCACTTCTCCATCTAGAGGCCCCGGAGGCCCCCCTCTCGGTTGACCCTGACAGCAGCAGCACTTGGCTCTTGGGATCCCTGGCCCTGTCCCCACCCACAGCACCAGCCAGCTCTGCTGCGTTAGCCCCTCGACCTCCGCGGGCGGCGCCCTGGCCTGGCACTGAGAGCCGTGACACCTCCCTTCTCCACTCCAGGTCCGCAGCCTTGTCCCCCATTCTTCCAACACCCCCCAGCTTGTACCTAGGACCCGCCCCCGCTCGACGCCCAACCTACTGATGGAGGGGGTGTCAGCTGGGCTCTCCAGGGCCGAGCTTGTGACCCAGGTGTCGGCGCCAGTGCAGTGCAGGCCCAGGGCCCAGTGACAGGCCCAGAGGTGGGGGCCGAGCCGGCTTGCCAGCCAGAGAGCAGCGGTGACACGGTCCTCTGCCAGCTGCTGCCAACCCATTGGGGAGAGGAACCTTGGCCACCAACATCCTGTGCCCGTCTGGCCCTGGTGGGTCTGAGCCTGTCCCCCCGCCCCCATGCACCAGGCAGAAGAGCAAGCGTGCAGGCCTGGACCCGGTTTCTGGCTCCAGGACAGCTTCCCAGCCAGAAGGGAAGGCGGCTCCTCCTTGAACAGCTTCCAAAGCCGCCCCCTCCCAATCTCCCAGCCTGGCTGGCACATGGGGTAGAGGTAATCCCTGCCCCGCCCCAATCCCTGCCTGCTCACTTACTCACGCAGGGTCCGTCTGCCCCACTGGAATGCTAACTTTCACGGGCCAGAGACTCCGTTTCCTCCAGAGCTCTTGTCCTTGGTGCTCACTAAATCTTGGCTGAAGGAATGACAGCCTCAGGGCGCCTGGGGTCAGGGAGCTGGTCCCCCAGCCTCCTCTTGCTCCCCACGGCCAGGCCTGCTCTCCCTCCACTGGGTGGCAGGCCGTGGGGCACGGCTGCCTGCTCTGTGGCCCCCAGAGCCCCCAGACAGGGAAGGGGTGCCCAGGGGAGGCCGGCCACCTGCCACCTCAGTGCTCTCCATCGGCCTCACCCCCGGCCCTTCCTGGGCATCCCCTCCCGGCCCCACCCCCTCGCCCCGGGGGGCGGGCACTGACTCAGCAGAGCAGGGCAGAGTGGCTGCGTGGGGTTCTGGCAGGGACACTGCTCAGTGCCGCCTTCCCCAGACCAGTCACTAGGTCAGAAGGAGCAAAGCTACCTGCTTCCAAGCTGTGGCTCCTCAGAGCCTTTCACACGCAAGTATGCTGAGCCCAGTGGCCAGGTGGGGGTGGGCTAGGGCTGGGTACAGCTCAAGGGCGCCTGCCTTGCCTTCTTACATTTCCTCCTTCCCTCCTTCCTCCCTTCCGAAGACGTGGGGAGACCTCCAGACTCCAGTCCTCAGAGGGGTTGGGGATGGGGAGGGGCTGACACCTGCCCTCCGGCCTGGGCCCAGGCCCTAGACTCATCCTCTGGGAAGGGAACACCGGAGGGGCTCGGCGGCCAGGCGCGGGGACATTCTGAGGAGCACGGGGACAGCACTCTGCCTCCCACGGCCCCAAAACGCCCCCCCCCCCCCCGGAACCCCAACCCCCCCGCCCCCAACTTCCGGGACACCTGCAGCAGCGCCCAGGCCCGCGTCCAGGCGGACAGGCAGCCCCCGGCTCCGACCACGCCGCCCGACGTGCGCACCGGGAAGGCCTTCCGCTCCGCCAGCCCCGCCCTGGGGGCGGTCTCGGTCGCTGCAGACGAAATGGCCAGGGGCGGGACCACGACTGCTTCCAGCCCGCAGTGCTCTGGGCGGTGAAGACCTCAGAGGCCGGAGCGCAGCTACTTACAGCCCGTCCCGGGGCTCCGAGGTCCCCGCGCCCCGAGGTCTCCCGTGGGCCAAGTTCGCCCGCGCTGCGAGGTCCCGGCGCTCCGAGGTCCCCGCGCCCCGAGGTCCCCGTGGGCCAAGTTCGCTCGCGCCGCGAGGTCCCACGGCCCGCGGTCCCCGCGCCCCCGCGATGTGGCTGAGGTGAGCCGGCTTGCGGGCGAACCCTCGGGTGCGGGGGAAGGAGGGAGCCGCCGCAGTCCGGAGCGGGGTGTGCGGGCCCGGAGGCGGCCGAGAGCTCCCTTGGGGCAGCGCTGTGGCCCCGGCGCGCGTGTCCCGTCTCTGGTCGGCTGCGACGCGGGGCTCGCGGGGCTCGCCGGAGGGAAGAGCGGCGCGGGGTGCTGGCGGCGGGCGCGGGGACCGCAGGGGGCGGGGACGACAGGCCGGGGACGGCGCACTGGGGGCGGCATTGCGGGGGCGTGGGGGGGGCGGGTCCCTGCCCGGGCGGGGGAGGAGCGCCGCGGGAGGGAGGGCCAGCCTCGCTCCTTCCCCAGCCCGGGCTGATTTCTCAGAAGGCAGGAGAAGGAGGGATGTGGCCCGGCTGCTACCTGAAGGCCAGGACACCGCCTCTGCCGCGCCCTCCCCTACACGCGGGATTCCCTGCGCGGCGGTGGGGCTGGGGAGGGGCAGCCGGAGAGGGCAAGACAGCTTTGCTCTGGCTTTTGTCAAACCCCCTTCAATGCACATGGTGGGGCCAGCAGCCTGTGTCCCCTACCCGTGGTGGATTGCTGGGGCACCCCACGCCCAGGCGTCCCACCCATACAGCCCAAAAGTCTGCCCACATCCGGGTCACACTGCCTGGTGTCCACCCCCACTTAGAAATGTCTGTAGTTAAGATCCACCCCTCAAGAGACAAAAAATTAGGTCCAGGAATGTCATAGCTGGCCACTGCCCACAGCCTGGAGCCGGCGACCCTGTCTGTGCTGGACCTGGGGCAGGGTGCGGGGCAGCTTACACCGCAGCACCCGGGGAGGGCAAAACGCTCTCCCCCAAAAGAGCCCAGAACATGCCCTCAGCCCCCAGAAATCCCCCAGGCAGACAGGGTTGGCCTCGAGAGACCCCAGTGGGCATCGTGGGAGAGAAGTAGGGGCCACAGAGGGGTCCCCACAGATATGTAGTCCGGAAGGCAGCTCTGGCTCTGGGGAGCTGTCCTGAGTGGTCAAGCCTGGAGGCAGAGAGGCCCTTGGAGGCCCTTGGAGCTGTCCTGCAAGCAAGAATGGTGGCCCCACCAGGAGAGTGGGAGATAGGGACCATCTGCAGGTGCCGGGAGTTCCTGGTGGCCCAGGGGCCGGCCTAGGCGCACGTGCAGTATGGCTTAACCTGGGGCACGCCTCTGTGCAGACTCAGCGGGCGGCCGTCCTGGGCAGGGCAGCATCTCTGCAGCTCCAGAGCTCATGGTCGCTGCCACCTGGGAGGTTCCCATGAGACAAGTCCTGCACCCAGGACACCCCCGAGGTTTCCCAGGCAGGGGCCCGAGAGAGGAGGGAGGAGGGTCCCTCAGACATTGTGGGTGTAGGGACATCAGAGGAGTAGGTGCTCCTGGGCCCTGCTCCAAGGGGCTCCCACCTCATGGGGTGTTGGCCTCAGAAACAGACGGTTTTGGGGGCTGTGACCGAAGTGGCCCAGGCCCCTGTAGAGCAAAGCCGAGGGGCCCTGCCCAGCAGGAGGTGACCTGGGAACCTGCAGGAGGAACATGCAGGGTGCCAAGGAGCCTTGGACTTGCTGGCCCCAGGCCGCTTCCAGGATCTGAAACGGGAGGAGTCACCAGGTTTTGTGCCAGAATGATCCTGTTCCTCCACAGGGCTGTCCTGAAACTCAGCTACCCCGCTGCGTGTCGGATGTTCTCTGTCTCCCCAGCAGTTTAAATGCAGCTCCCGCCATACGTACCCTGGAAGTTTTCTTTCCTCTGACTTCATACAGTTTCTTGGCATCCATCCCCAGGAAAGCTGGGCCACCTTTGTGGCCTCGGTGGTGGCTCTTGCCACACTTTATCAGCACACTCTCCTTGTTTTCGGAGGATTTTGTTACCTTGGGGGCTGGCGGGTTGCCAGGGGCTTTCCGCCCCTAGGGACTTGCTGTGCTGGGCAGAGGGGTGGTGGTCCTGGCTCCGCTCCCCGAATTCTGTGGAGAACAGCCAGGGTTAGGGGACAGTGGCAGACGGGCTGGCTCCTGGTGGTGCATTCACAGATCTGTGATGGGCATGGCCACCTCCTGCCCCTGCCAGCCGGCGGGCTACTGTTTGGAACCACAGCCCATCTTACCTGCCTTTCTGGTTGTGTCTTCCAGTCCCGGGCTCCTCCTGCTGCTCGGCGGCCTGCAAGCCGGTGGTAAGTTCAGATGGCGCCTCCCCCCACCACCACCCCCACCCCTCCAGCTGCCAAGCTGCGCGACCAACCACTGGCGCGGCGCTCAGTGTCCTCACCACGGCCCTGCTCGCTTCGCTAGGGCTGCGCCCCAGGGCTGGGTTGATGTGCAGCGCGGAAGTCCGGAAGGGGAAACGCTTTTCCAGACTCTAGTTCTTGCTGGATTTTGTGTTTGGTGTGGGTGGCATGTGCTCCTCTGAGCCAGGGCCTTCCTGGCTCTCCTGGCCTCTGTGCCCCAGGCGGCCCTGCGGAGCCCTGAAAGGTGCCAGCTCCAGGGACGGAGCACCGCAGCCACCCGAGGCCTTGCCCAGCCTCCCAGCCCAGAGGCTCTGGGGCAGGGGACACGGCCACTTTGCCGGTGGGCATGTAGGTGTTTGCACAAACGCTAGAACCACCCTGTACAGGTCACATGACCTTCTCGGTGGAGGTGAGTAGCGTTATAATGTTCTTGTTGAGAGATTGTTTTCCTTTCAATGTCTGAATTTTCAAAGTATAACTGCACTCCTATGTGTATCGTACTGATAAATTCCTTTTCTGTTAAATGAATCAAAGTTGGTGTTTGCACCAACCAAAAAGACAAGAACCAAGAGGTTTGCCTGACAGAGTAACTGCTCAGGCGAGGCGTCAGTCTCAGAAAATAAATTTTGTACTTTTTGGATAGTTGCAGATATTCAAGAAAAAGAAGTCCGGGCCATGGTGGGCAGCAACGTGGAGCTCGGCTGCGTGAGCCCGGAAGAAAGCAGTTTTGATTTAAACGACCTCTTCGTTTACTGGCAAATCAGCGAGCGGAACACCGTGGTGACCTACTACCTCCCGCAGAACAGCTCCACGGCCCACGTGGACAGCCACTACAGGAACCGGGCCTGGCTGTCGCCCGACAGCATGAAGCTCGGCGACTTCTCCCTGCATCTGTTCAACATCACCCCCCAGGATGAACAGAAGTTTAACTGCCTGGTGTTCAGGAAATCCTTAGAATTAAAAAAGGTTCTGGAAGCTGTGGTCACGCTGCATGTGGCAGGTAAGACAGTCGGAGTGGAGAGGACCGATTCCATCCCAGCCCGCGTCCTGGACGAAGCGGTAGTAAAACCCCCTTCCCGGCACATTTACCTGTTTCTCCCTGTAAAGAGAGTCGTGATCTCCAGACGTGGGCTTCTGTGTAACCGTGGGTGAAGCCGAAGGGTTGAAGAATCGTTCAGCTCCTAAGGAAGTTTCCGTAGCCCGAGGCTCCTGGTTTTGCAGAACCCCTCATCCTGCTCTGCGCCCGAGCTCTGCCCAGGCACAGACTAGATTTTCTAAGCGGAATCAGGCGGGAGTGCTGCAAAGCGCTGGCTGAGATCAGAATTTAAGATAAAATTAAAAGCAACCAAGGAGCCCGGGGCGGTTCAGTGCGAGACGGGCGGCGTCCGCTGCAGGTGAATTGTAGCTCCCACGTCACCCTCGAGAAGTGCCAGGTCCCAGTGAGGCAGGGCCTGGGTGGCCGACCCCCTGGCGTGGGGCCCGGTAGGGACCAGGCACCGCCCGCCAGGCAGGCTCAGTCGCCCTTGGCTTCGGGGCTAGCTGGGGGATGACTCTGGGCAGAACAGGGCTGTGCCCGCTGCTCAGACTCAGCCCTGGGCCTGCGCCTCCACCAGGGTCAAGGACGCGCCCGGCGGCCTCCCCTCTGAGCTGGCCTTGGCGCCGCACGCCCTGCAGAGCCTGGCCTTCCTCACCCCTCCCCTCCCCTGCAGCGAACTACAGCATGCCCGTCGTGAGCGCCCCCAGCGGCCCCTCCCAGGACGAGCTCACCTTCACGTGCACGTCCACGAACGGCTACCCGAGACCCAACGTGTACTGGATCAACAAGACGGACAACAGCCTGCTGGACGCGGCCCTGCAGAACAACACCATCTCCTTGAACTCCAGGGGCCTGTATGATGTGGTCAGCGTCCTGAGAATCGGGCGGACCCCCCACGTGAACGTCGGGTGCTGCATAGAGAACGTGCTCCTGCACCAGAACCTCACTGTCAGTAGCCAGGCAGGTAAGGCCCGGGCTGCACGCTGGCCCGGCCTGAGGGGGTGGGACTGGGCGTGGCTCGGGAGGACCTCTCAGGCGGAAGACAAAGTCCCTACAGGGTGAGCCAGCAGCGGCATCAGAACGGTGGTTGAAAGGGAGAGGTGACGGGCACATGTCACGTGATGGGAGCCCCCGCGGAGCCTGGGCACGTTGCTCGACTTAACACCACCTGTGGAGTCTGTTTTGTTGGACCCATTTTATGGTTAAGGGCTGAGGCTCTGAAAGGCAGGACTGGGCCCTCAAGGTGGAAGCCCACACCCGTGCAGCCCCAACCGCACTCTCTGCCTCTGGGCGTGAGCCCCCCAGACCAGGGGACCCATCTGGGTGTGGCTGCTGGCCCAGCCGTTCCCTGTGGAAGGGGCGTAGGCGGCCACGGGCTCCCCCCTCCGTGCCCCAGCTGCAGGAAGGGACCCGCTGCATAATCTTGGGGGCCTGCAGCAGGCGGGATGCAGGGCTCCTTGCTCAGGAATGGCTGGGAATTCCAGACGGCAGCAACATTGCCCCAGGCGCCAGGCCTCAGAGCCTGCACCGGTGGACACTTGTGAAGCCCACTCTGACTGCCGGGACCCCCACAGGGCCAGACACCCCCGTCCTGAGATGAGGGTGCAGCTCAGAGTTCACAGTCCCTGAGCCTGCTCCAGGGCGAGGGCTGCCCCAGATGCAGCCTGGGACGACCGCCTTCCAGCCAGCACTGCCAGGCAGCGTCCGGAGGTTCTCCCAGGGCTGCAGCTTCAGCCCACTGCAGTGGGCAGCCTGCAAAAGCTCTCACGCCCAGACCCATTGGACCAGAACCTCGGGGCTGGCACCCGGCGTTAGGACAGTGTTTAAAGCTTCCAGATGACTCCAAGCCACGCTCAAGGTTGAGCCACTGGCCAGGTGATTTCTCCAGGTGTGCTTGGAGACACACCGGCCCCTTTACAAGCCCCAGGGGACGTTGTTGCTTGTTTGCCCGAGAGAACCTCCCTCCGACAGGCAAAGTTCGTGCCTCGCAGGTGGGAGTCCGGTGGTGCAGCTGCCGTGGCAAACAGTGGCAGGTCCTCAAAGTTACATGTAGAACTGCCACGTGACCAGCAGTTCCTCACCTGGGGACACACCCGAAGGATTCAAAACAGGGAGTCAAACGAATACCTGGGCACGAACGTTCACAACAGCCAAAGGGGGGAAGCACCCAGGTGGGCCTCGTGGGTGGACGGGAGTGGTCCAGCCGCACACTGATCGTTCTGGAATATCAGCCCTAAAAAGGCACGCGGAGTCTGCACTCGCGCGCTAGGACGTGGGTGAGCCTTGAGGATGTCCCGCTCAATGACAGAAGCCAGTAGGAAATGCCATGTGTCGTACGATTCCACTCACACGAAGTACCCGGAATAGTAGGTCCACGGAGCCAGAGGCGGCGTCCAGCTCCCGGGGCGGGGGCAGAGAAGAGGGGCGAGTGTGGTGCCGGCCGCAGCGCTCCGTTCGGGGGGACGGCAGAGTTCTGGAACTCGAGTGGTCACGGCGGCCTCACCCTTGAATGTACTAAATGCCACTGAACTGTTCGATCTAAAATGGTTAATTTTATGTTACGTGAAATTCACCTCGATTTTAAAAAATTCTGGGAGGAACCTGCGCTTCCCATCACACCCCTCCCGTGGGGACCCTGGGCTGGCGCTGGGATCGCACCTGTCCCGGGCGGGTGCAGCTGCAGCCCCGCACGAGGGGCCTCCCTGTGAGAGAAAACCCTCCTTTGGAAAAGACGCTTCCCTGCACACTCTCCTCTTAAGGATGAAGAAGAAAGATCCTTTTCCTCCAAGACCCTGAAGTTTTGGGTTATTTTCTTCTTTCTTCTAGAAACTTTCACGGGGACCCGAGACAAGATCATAGAGAAGCCAGGCCGTACCCACAAGGCGCAAACCGCCATTTTCAGCGTCGTGGCTGGCTTCGCGGTGGTGGCGCTGGCTGTGGGCTGGATGTGCAAGAGGAAGAGGTGTCCCCTGGGACGCTACGCAGGTGGGAAAAGGCCCGCATTGTGGATGCTCGACACTGACTTTGCTGGTGTGAGCATTTCGCCTTCTTAAATTTCTCTAACTGATGTCGATTTCGCCTGAAATCCGGTTGCGATGGCGCTAACGCTCACGGGCAGTGGCCACTCACACACTCTGAGGAACGGGACGTCACGCCCACCTCTCTCGGGCTGCTTCCTGACCACAGCCCGGGCAGACAGGCGCGGCTGGGAATGGCGGATTCTGGATTTAGAGTCAGGACGAAGTTTGCTTCTGTGGAAGCCGACCGAGGCGGGTTGAGACACCCATAGGGGTGGTGTGATTCTGGCCCCCCAAGGGCAGATCCAGGGGTCTGTGTCTTAACCGTGGGCAATGCAGCAGCAGAACTTACGGTGGAGGGTAGGTGAGCCCCGAACACGGCCACAGTGGTGGTCCAGGTGACACGGTGGGGCTCTTCCTGGACACTCCAGGAGGGCAGGGGCCAGGGGGCAGCTGTGCAGTGAGCCCAGTGGCCACGGGACAGGGGCCAGCTCACAGCCGGAGCATCCTGTGACGGAGTCTCCTTCCTGCCCCCGTGGGCGGCCCCGGGGTTTCCAGTGTGTGGCCAACACCAGTCACCCCCAAAACACTTCCCACTGCCCATGCGACTGGGCTGCGCAAGGACCCCTGAGTCAGGACACGGAGCCCATACGCTTATCCCTTAAAAAGCATTTTCCTCAGCCGGGTGCGGTGGCTCACGCCTGTAATCCCAGCACTCCGGGAGGCAGAGGTGGGAGGATGGTTTGAGGTCAGGAGTTCGAGACCAGCCTGAGCAAGAGGGAGACTCCAGTCTCTGCTAAAAATAGAAAAAATTAGCCGGGCATGGTGGCGTGTGCCTGTAGTCCCAGCTACTCGGGAGGCTGAGGCAGGAGGATTGCTTGAGCCCAGGAGTTTGAGGTTGCTGTGAGCTAGGCCTATCCCGGACAACAGAGTGAGACTCTGCTCAAGAAAAAAAACAAAAAAACATTTTCTTCAAAAACAAGGCCTGGGGCCTGGGGAACCCCTCGTCTGGAAGTCCCTTCCCCGCCTGAGCCAGGAGCCTGGGGGAGACACCCAGGCAGAGGGTTTTGGGGCTGCTGAGAGCTCAGGGCCACCGGGGTCTTTTGAGAGCCACCCCTCTACCCCCGCCACCCTGACCTCTTGGTTCGTCCCGCAGGTGCCCGGGCTGCGAGGCCGGAGCTGGAGCTTGCGGGTGAGTCGGCCGCCCCGACGCAGCGGGGCCCAGGCAGGCCAGGCCCCTGTCTGTCTCCGATTTGCAGAAAGCTTTCAGAAGGCAAAAGTGTGCCCTCACAGCTGTCGCCAGAGACACGGTGAAACCCTCAGGGGTGCGCACGGCGTTTCCGCCCACGTCCTGGCACGTGACCACCCCACTGTGTGCACTCGCCAACACTGTGCGGGATTGTCCCCTTGTCGTCACCACCCGCGTCCTGAGAACATGGGTCTCTTCGCCTCCAAGGTGAAAAGGACCGTCTCATGTCCTCTCTCCCCACTTTCCTTCCAAGACCACGCGTGACAGCCACGCACCGCCCAGGACGTGGACAGGGCTGCTGTGACGTGCCAGCCGGGGACGCCAGGCGGCAGTTTGAGAACGGACTCACCCGGCCTGGTGGCAAGTTGGGCAAAGAGCCGTCTGCCGGTGCACGTGCCACCAGCGAGGGCAGGAGCCTCCCGGCCCAGAGGGGAGACCACGGCCAGAACCCGGGAGAATGCGCCAGTCCCGGAGCCAGGCCCTTCCACCGCGGCGGCGCCGAGGCCAGTGCTCCCGAGTGCGTGGGCGCCCGCCTTTGCTGCTCTGGGGGTGGCCCCTCCCCACCAGGAGCCCCGGAGCCCCCAGAGCTCGTGTGACTCAGCGCCAGGCTCTTCCAGATGCCGCGCACCCGCTGCGGGACACGGTCCGAGGCTGAAGGCAGCGGGTCCAGCTGGACGAGGAGAAGAGGGGCGCCCACTGTCTCCCAGGGCCTCTGCGTGGTGGGGGCGCCCGCGTGTTTGCAGCAAGAACAGAAACGAGGAATGGGGCCCAGAGGGCAGGCCGAGTGTCCCGACGCTTGCCACAAGACATTGTTTTTCTATAAAAAAAGCCCCCATGGGCTTGTAAATGAGTGTGATGAGGGACACGCCGAAGTTCTTAACGAGAGCATTAGAAGACGTGTGCTGTTTGTGAAAGAGCAATGGTTGTTGTTGTCAGACATGAATTGGCATCCAGAGCAAGGAAGCGTGGGGAGCTGCTTGGGGTGCGGGAGCTGGGTGTGGGGGTTGGGGCACGGGAGTTAGGGTGCAGGTGTTGGGTGCAGGGGTTGGGGTGCAGGCGTTGGGTGAGGGTGTTGGGGTGCAGGCATTGGGTGAGGATGTTGGGTTGCGGGGGTTGGGTGCGGGGGTTGGGGTGCAGGTGTTGGGTGCGGGGGGTTGGGGTGCAGG